GGTTTTTCATGAAGCCGAGAGTGAAGTGAGGGATTGATGAAGAAATTGGTGAAAATCTTTTTTTTTTATGGAATTTCAAAAAAAAAAAAAGTTGCTTTGGTTCTTGGAAGAAAGTAATATCTAAATTGAAGAAGGCTGGATTCATAAACTGAAATCACACAAAATCATACCCAAAACACTTGAAATTACACAAGAGGGAGAGATTCTAGCAATATGAGACAAGACAAACCATGTTTGAATCAACAATGTACATCACGAGAAAAGAGAAATTGATTAAAAAAATTAACTTGATTTTTTTTTTATTTGGGTTCTATATATATATTATTAGAACAAGAGAAAGAATATTGTCTGAAGTTTGATTTGCTTGTAAATTAGTATAATTCAATCATTTTATTCAATTTGAAATAATATAAAATATCATTTTCATTTTCAAAAGAATGAAGAAGAAAAATAAGTAATTGTAAAAAAATATTTTTATAATATATTATCCCTAATAATAATAATAAATATCATTATGAATTGTACTTGATATATACCACTGTTAAATATAAATATAAAAAAATTGATATATATATATATATTATTGTTGAATATAAATATAAAAAAAATTAATATTTTTTTATTAATACGGTGTCCGAACAAACTTGTGTGGACCTTAACTAAATTTATAAGTCTTGAAATTTTATATAATTTAAATTAATAATTTTTAAAAAATAAATCTAGAAAATAATTAATTAAAATATATTTAAAGGGTTAAAAAAATCAATATTATACCCGTGAAAAGAGGTCCTATGCTTTCAAAACCGATCATATCAATCCCACTTATCTCTTATGCAAATGAAGAAGCCAATGCAACGATCGGCGTTTCAAGTGGAATTGAGAACATCTCACAACAAAGAACTCAAAGCATCTTGGCTCATCTACAACTTGAGTATCGTAATTAAATACGAAGAAGAAAAATCTTACCACATTTATGTGTTTTTTTTAAACGTGTTCGAGGTTATCTCTCTCACTTGATGTCATGAATTTAGTTTCTTACCTCTTTTTAATTTTTTTAATGCGAAAAATAAATTTAGGTGACCTTCCTTCCAGGGTTATTGTACGATCTTTATCTCTTTCAGGCAAGGTGGCATGATATATATGTCCGATCTATATCTCTTTCAGGCAAGTTGGCATGGTATATATATATATATATATATATGAAAATGTTGCCTTTAAAATCAGTTGATGCAGCACATAGATTAAAATCAGCCTCAAAACAATATCTCAGAACCGTCGATATATAAAAAATGACGTTGATGCTTCTGAAGATGGTATTTATTTAATGATCATGTATTGGATCCACTATCAAGTCCTCATTCAACAAATTGGATCAGTGGACCTCTTCAATGCCAGTGAAAAACTGCACTCGTAATTTTATACAGATTTTAATTTCAAGCTTTTCACCCGATCATCATTACTTAACCGTGGATTAACGTGATCTAACGATTGAAACAATTGAGGTATTTCTTTGCTTTATTATTTTATTGAACAAAAAATAAAAAATGTAGGGGTGTAATTATTACAATATGTGACCATCAGTCATTATTATCAAGTTAGGTTGCTCAAATTTCAGACGCCCCCATTTAACAAGTGTACTTGTGTGCCTCTTGTTAGGCCTCCTCACTTGGGAGTTTGTGTAGTATTTGTTGAGGAGTATCCTCACTTTTGTTTCTAATTTTTTTTAATTAAAAATATATTATAATATTTTTTTTTAATTTTTACATCAACATATTAAAATTATTATAAAATACTAAAAGATAGTAATTTAATGTATTTAAATGCAATAAAATTGACAAATTCAAATGAAAACACTTACATAATTTTTCTAGCAGTACATTGCAGTAATATTTATTAACTGATTTTTTTATTTTTAAATTCATCAATAAACAACGACATGAATATTTTTATAATATATATCAAGAGAATTGCAATTAAAAATAAAAATAAAAAAATCAAACAATATAATAACATGATCAATGACAAAAATATTTTTAAATTAAAGTGAATATCAATATTACTGTTAACTCATTGATGAAATCATTTTGTTAATATATTTCAAAGAATTTAAAAAGAATTACTATAACTACTACTACTGCAACTCATCGATGAAATTACATATAATCAACATGTTGGCAATATGCTAAATAATACCAACAAAATAAAAAAATTATGTTTTTGATGCAAACGTTCCATCTGTAAAGTTATCAGTAATTAAAGTTATCAATAATAAATTTACCGACAAATAAAAAATTACTATCAAGTGTTTTTTAAACCGATGTTTTTTATTCATGATCCTATCAATAAAATAATTACAGATGGATTGTTTGTGTAAATATTATTAAAAAAATTTATTGATAAAACTATTAAAACTAATAATATTTCAAGGGTAAACAGATTTTTAAAATGCTACTAAATACAAAGTGTAAAGCAATTCCAAACACGCTTCCATCGGCAAGAGATTCATTTAGACACACAATCATCTTGTATTATTTTATTATTAAGTAATTTAGGATCTTCGATTAGCATGTACATCTCAGTTATTGGGACTTTCTTTTCTTAATAACTTGGTGTGTTTTGACTTCAAAGTTGGATGGTATTTTTCTACTACTAGTAGATAGACATTGTCTTAGAGAATACATAGCATGGACCATGTAAGGCGTGTCCCTTCAGAGCATAAAAACAATAATTTTTAATTAGCAAAGTTCTAATTAGATATTAATACCATGTCGATCGGTTTTATTGTTTGGGATTTGACCTTTCTCAATTAATTATTTAAATAGCAAGTTGCAAATTGCAAGTAATTTAAATTAACTAAAGTATCGTACAAATCTTGTCCAGTACAATGTACGGTTGCATGATCTGTTGTCGTCATGAGGCTACAGCCATGTGAAGACTTCGATTTTATATAATCTTTGAGCATCTGGATAATATGATCATTCCATGCTAGCCCATTGTTATATTATCCTCCATTTTCTTGATTTTTCCATTAAACTTCTACATTAGATCACTTAAGTGCAAATTAATGGGTTTAGATTGAGATAAATCATTTGGATTACTACTAATCCAACGACGACTGCACCAGGACCCGTTGACGAAGTCCAAACAACAAGACTGCAAAGTTGGCATTTCCCCTCCTTGATAACTGAAAATGTTTCCAAATTCACATCACAGCACCTAGAAACGAGGGCGATTATATTTGATTAGTACATACTTACCATATTAATTAGTCTTGAAGCCCGTTAAATACCTTTAATGATTAAACTTTAAAGAGCTCTACGGCCTCATCTTTGGCACTACTTATGGTCCTGCAATAAATTTGAGGTGATTGCTGATCGTAATTAAGATATCCAACAAAAGTAATTGCAACTTAACCAAGTTGCCCTAAACAAATTAAAATTGTCAATTTGTAACGAAACGAACCATTATTCTAAACAGCGACCATCTTATAGTCGCTTCTTCTTATCAAAATGTTTTGTTGCTTCAATGACAAAAGCAATGCAACTTGCGGCGTTGATGTATTTTATTCTAAGACCTAGAAGACATGGTTAGCAGGAGAATTTTGCCATCATTTTGATAGCTCCATGCAGATGTCTTGATCATGCTTGGCGTCACTATTGTATTGTCTATCTCTCTCGTAGTTTGGTCTAGTTGTAACAACTTTGAAGGGCAGATACCCTTTGGCTCTCCTTTTTTTAACAAACCATAAAATAAAAGGTAATTAATGCTGCCCAGAAATTGAAAATTTGATTCTCTAGCTAGCATAAAAAGAAAAATGTGATTTAGAATTGGTCGACGGATTCAAAAGTTAAAACTAATTGATATGCTAATCATGGTTTCAAAGATGTGAAATGGGAGAGTTGCTTTCCCTCTTTCTTCCAACAAGTTATTCCCTTTGCTCCATTGAATATCAAGATATAGTTAATATGGTAAATTAACTTTTGTATTTTTCTACAAAAACATTAAAGAAATTAACATGACGACAGAGAGACAAATAAAGAAAGTGACAAAGATTAAAGTTGACTATAGCAGTAGATTGCCAAAATAACCAATGTAAGCCTCTGATTTAACAAATCAGAAACTAACTAGTTGGTTCGGACTCTTAATATCTTAGGTCATGATTTACAAATGTATGATTATTTTTAAGAGCTAAATTAGAATTGATAAACTCGAAATCTTCAGTGGATCGTATACTTACATATAGATTAAAAAATATAAGTGGTACAATTCAAATTAAAAATGTTCTCTTTAATTCTCTAGTTAACTTATTATTATTTAACTATTATCTAGTTAACTTACATTAAACTAAGAGATTAATAACCGGAGATAAAGTTATCAACAACAAGATGAATTATAGTAGACAGCAATTTAATCAGTTTCAGTTAAATGTTTTTTGTGCTGTTCTTAATCCACATTATTCCTTCTGAGACGCAAGCTCCTGTTCATAACGACGAGACAAATGCGGGAGCCAGGACACGTTCAAGAACCATCGATTGCCACCATCTTTTGCTGTGACCAGGCACGATGATCTAATCATGGAAGTTATTAGTTTTTATGGCACAAAGGAACCCACTAATACCTTACTACTTGTAAACATAAAAACGCAAAGGAAAAGGAGAAGATGAAGTGCTCAAGAGTAAAAAATAAATAAATTTATATTAATCAAATTAACTTTCACCTAATTTTATCTCACAGGCGGCTTAATCCTGATGGGAGGATGACTTGAAGCCTTTGGCATATACCTACATTTAATTGATTAATCAACGAGAAAAATAATATTCTGATCCCACTAGTTTCAACAACTGTCCTAATTAATTACTACGATGAAAGATAATTATCATTTTTTTATTCCAGCTAGTTTGATAATATTTAAGGCGTTTACAAAAGTGAAGATTGTATTTTATATCCTTCGATTATTCTAGCAGTACTGTTACATAAGCCTAGCTCACGCATTTTCATTGTGCAGCATCAAATGTCAACGGTTAATTTGTAGAAGTCGGCAAATCTCTCTCAAACCCTTTTAAAACCAAAACGCCTCTACCAAACACCAACTCTCAACACCAGACATAGAAGATCGAAACTGCAAGAAATCACTAGGAGATCTATCTCAGAGAAAAGTAGAGATTATGAAGCTGGTTTGGACCCCAGATACAGCTTTAAAAGCCTATGTTTGTACTATCAAAACAGTAAGAAAATCCTGTCCTTGACGCACAATTCCATTCTTGATGTCTATACTCTCTTACTTTACATTTTTTTTTCCTTTTATTGTAGTGTGAGAATTTTATGGAATCCAGTGTAGCGGAATTCCTCTCAGCCATGGCGGCCGGTTGGAACGCAAAGCTAATAGTTGAATCCTGGTCCAAGGGTGGCCCGATTGCGACGAGCATCGGCCTAGCCGTGGCGGCTCGTCACACGTGTGGAAGACATGTGTGTGTGGTACCAGATGAAGGGTCAAGATCCGAGTACGTGAAAACCATGCATCTTGCCGGCATGTTGGAGACGGAGGTTCTGGTTGGCGAAGTGGAAGAGGTGATGGCAGGGCTTGTTGGGGTGGATTTTTTGGTGGTGGATTGTAAACGGAGGGATTTTGTTAGGTTTTTAAGGTTAGCTAAGTTGAGCCCTAAAGGTGCTGTCTTGGCATGCAAGAATGCCTTTCAAAAGTCTGCTGCCGGGTTTAGATGGCACGGAGCGCTTGCGAGAGGGACACGTGTAGTTAAGACTGTGTTATTGCCAGTTGGGCAAGGATTGGATATGGCTCATATAGGGAGTCATGGTGGGAGTGAGAGCTCAAAGGGGAGTCCTAGCCGTTGGATCAGGCATATCGATCAAAAGTCAGGTGAGGAGCATGTGTTCCGTGGATAAAATTTTTATGTGATTTCTGGAAACACAGAGGTTGTTACGAGAGCCTATCGGGTAAATTAGTAATAGTTCTCAGAACCTTAATGGAGTATTATGTACATATAATTATTGCTGTAGTTGTTCCATGATGTCTTGCAACTTTTTTGGACTCGTGCATTTTGGGTGGAAAAATAAGCTTTCTTTAATTGACTCGCTTAATTTCATGCAATAATTCCTTGATTTTCTTCTTCCTATAGTCAAGTTCCTAATAATAGATGATCTTCCCCGATTTTAAAGATTTATTTAGGATTATAATAGTAATTGTGGTTTAAAGTATTTTTCACTTATAAATATATTAAAATATTTTTTTTATTTTTTAACAATTAATTTTAAAATCAGAGCACATCAAAACAATTATTTAAAAAAAAAATATGAGCGAATATTGTTTTAATCTCATTTCCAAACAAATTTTAAATTGCTAATTTGAAAATCAACCATTATAACTTTTTTTTATTTATACTAATTAATGGTTGGTTAAGATTGGTGAAAGTACTAACTGTTGGTTTTGATTTTGAGAATTCAAATTAAGCGGAAGTGGTGCATCATATTTTTAGAAACATGAAATGAATCAAATTAAAAAAAAAAGATTATAATTTTTTTTTCACAAAAAAATAATTGCAAGTTTTCTATATTAGCTGTCACTTTATACTCGATGTAGTTTCATGGTTTTGGAGTTCATTAAAAGATATTATGCTATTTTGAGTTTTTATACTTAGTTTTAGGATTTTATCATTTTTATTTTGAATTTTTTTAACTAATTATCAACCAAAATTCATCACTATTTTTCAAACTATTTTTTATTGATCCAAAGCCCATTTTAATGATGACCTGTGCTTTAAATGATCTCTAGAAATGGGTTTGAGCCCAAGCTAGTGGGCTCGTGCATGATGCATGGGTCTAGATACACCCCTCAGCTGATGGAATCAGGCATCGTAGTGCATCTTGAATCTTTCATTATAGCTTACCCATTTCTTTAAGACTTTTTTTTAATTTAACTCAAATTTTTTTATTTAAATCCTGTTGAATCTACATTTTTAGAAGTATAAGAGTCTCTAATAACATATTATGTTAGTTCCTCATTAATATATATAAGATATATTTATTTTTTGTTAATATTATTAGTGAAAATAACTTTTTAACCTGTCATTCAGATTATAAAATAAAATTTAAGAGGTATGAATATCTATTAATCATCTAGACGACGCACCATCATTATTTTTTAACAAAACACTTATTCCCAAATATATATATATATATATATATAAAGAACAAACTTTTTAGTAGAATCTAATATTCTTTTACATAATTATTATAATTTATCTCTATAATTATATTGGCTTAAACATCAGGGTCTTCAAATCCATAAAAAAAAAAAAAACTATTTTATAGGTTCTACAAGTCACCATCTTTTTTAATTGCATGAAAAATTGATTAAACTCATTATTCAACCACTAAAAAACATATTTTTAGGTATCTTGAATTTTATAATACCATCACTAGTATTTAAAGAAATTTATTCTCTTGAATATATGATGTCAATATAAAACTTGCATTTCTAATATTATCAAAGAAAAAAATTAGTTTTATTTGAACAATAAATTGGTTCGTAGTTATTTGCTGCCTTAAAAATATAAAAAAATGATTAGTTTTATCTAAAAAATCATTTTGAGAAATAGTTGTTGCATAAGGCTTCACTTTAGAAAATTGGACGTGCAAGGTAGAAGAGTATCATAATTTCGAAAAATGGCGGGCCGTCTTACCGAAAAAATAAATAACTTGACCTTGGGCCTCCCACGGGTTTCAGCCTAGGAGTGCCTAACGAGTGAAGTTAGAAGAACTTCCCTTCTGACCACCAACCTAAACCTGTGACAGGATGGGCTTACAAGAGAAATAATTAACTGGGCCACTCGCGAGTATACCAGTACTTGAACCAAACCATTCTGATTTTGTTGGATACGAAGCCCAATAAGGTTTTTGACATTTACTCTGCACTGTATTATTCGATTATTTATAAGTTACTAATTTTAATTAAAAATATTGGTTTTAATTGATTTTTTTCCTTCTATTGCATGTTGTAAAAAATGTCATTTTTTTATTTTAAAAACATAAGAAATAAAAATAGAAATAGAGTTTTATTGTTTATTTCTTTGAATTGAGAAGACAAAAATTGTCTTGAAATTTAAAATAATTTTAAATTATATGATAAAAATAAGAATTATAAAACTATTAAAATAAAAAAATGGCATGCTATGATATCTTAATTATACGTAACAAATATAACTACATATTAGAATATAAATACAGTAATGAATAATTTAATACTGCTTTTAAAGTTTTTTTTAAAATATATATTTATAGTTTAAAAAATCTTGCAAACAATTTGATAAGTAGATATTCATGAATCAATATATACTTGATGCTAATATTTAAGATTTTTTATTAAAATATCTATGTAGTTTTATAGTATAATTAATTCATATCATCACTATAGTTTTTATAAATTATCTTTTTGAAAGGAGCATTCACTCAAATATATATATATATATATCGTAGTAAGTTTGTACTAAGGCCGGGAGTGATTCAAGAAGCTAGTTTTATATTATTTAGGTTTTTTAATTAATAAATAGGTAAATAAAAAAAACACTAATCTATTTGTTAGATTTTAATAATTTATTTTCTTAATAATTTCTTTCAATGTTGATTTAATTTTCCATGACTAGTTATGGGGTGAATATACATGTTAGTGTTGAAGATATGTTATAATATAAATATTATATTAAAAATATAATTTTCAATCAATTTTTTTTAAAGAGTTTATGATTTTATACGCAGTAGTTGCTGCAGGAGCTGCTGTATTATTGTTTTAGTTATTCTTATTATTATTATAAACAGGAAGTCTAACAAAGAGTAACGGTCGGGCTTTATCGCCCACCTAATAAACGTGGCTGTGGACACAAGGCACAGGCCTTGGGCAGTAGCGAATGGCAGGTCCAATCCCTGTAATTGTTAGACGGTGTCTTGTCTGTAACAGGACAGCTGGAAAAGAAGATTCGGGCTCCTTTAAAATCCCTCAAGCAAGTATCGGATTCAACAAGGAAATCCAAGTTAAAAGAATTCGAATCAGCAGACTTTTGTTATACCGATTAACCAATCTGACGAGGGATATTCTGCAAAATCGTGCTGTTATAGATGAAATCAATGGTGTTGGATTATATGAAAAGTCTAGCGAATATGCTTCTGAACCCATGCTCGAGAAGAAATCCAAACATATGAAGCGAACTTTCGGACATAAATTTTCATCTTTTAGCTGAATTAGACTTAAATTTTACAAATACGTTTTGAAAACTATTTAAATTATCACAAGTTCTTTTCAATTTTTTTTAATCAGAATATTATTCGAACTTTGTATCTCCTTGTGTGAAAATATCAGTATGAAATCCTTTTTTTTTTTTTTTGTTTGTCTTCCTGATTTCTCTTTCTATTCCAACTATAGAGTTCAGGTCGCATCACAATCAGAGTGTCTGCTGCATTCAATGATTATTGCTCTATAGATTAAACTTGGATTTTCTACAGTATTTTTGCCTGTTCATAAAATTTAAATGAAGCCATTCTTAATGATATACGGAAATCTGGGAAAACACATGAAATTTTCTGAGAACATCCAACTACTTAAAAAACATGAAGCCAGATGCTTGTTACATGCCATGTGCTATTTACATCAAATCAATCCGGAGTTGATAAAGATTCCTAGAAAGATAAGAAGTTCAACTAACATCTACATCTTGAGGCTTTAAGTTTGAAACTGATCTTCTTTCCAACCACAAAGAAGAAGAAGAAGAAAGAACATCTACATCCCCATTTAGGCACCTTAATAATTGTGCTCGGCGGACCAAAATATCGCTCAAGCTTCAATCACTTGCCGTGGGGAAGTGACCCTATAAACATGCTCTTCACCGGTGCACTTGTCAACCTTAGTGACCCATTTACTTCTTTTTCCATGCCCATGTCCATGTCCGCCACCAGTACCCTTACCAGCTGAGTCTTTTCCGGTAACAAGCAGCCCCTCCCCAATGGGTAAAAACCGAGTCTTAAACTCACAAGACCATGACGATCCCTTATGAAAGGCGTTATACCCTACTACAAGCCCCTTTCCATGTCTTGAACACTCCTGTGAAGCTCTAAGAACCTCCTCACAATCATCAAGATCACAATCCACAAGTACAAAATCTGCCGCTTTGTAGTCCTTTGGTAATAGGGTCTTGGCATCTCCCATGACAAACTTGACACAATCTGCATAAGGTCCCAGAGCATTTTTTGATGCAATAAGGTTGGATTTTGTAGGTAAAATACAGACTACATTGCCACCTGTTTGATGTGCAGCTGCTACAAGTGACAGCGTGGTGGATCCATCAATGCTAGCTGACGCTATCACCATGAGTTTTGCACAGTTCCCTGCAGCAAGGGCTGATATAAACTCATATGCATCAAGCTCCTTGTCTCTTTTACCCTATAAACAAATGGCACCCAAAATCAGGAAAAAAGGAAATAAAATTGAAAAACTTCGTAGAAAACATAAGGATTTTGTTTTGGAGGAGATCATTGCTTACCATTTTCAAGGCATAGAAATAAGCTTTGGTGGCATTTTCAGCTGACCAACTAGCCATTTTCTTTATTTTGATTTAGAGTTTTCTGGTACTGAAATGAATTATAGTATGTTTGATCAATGGATTGCTGGAGTGAGACAACCTCATGGGATTTATATGTGTGGGAGAAGGGAGGCTGTGGTATCGCGTGTGCCATTAAATTATTTCCGTGGAAGCAACCAAGGGAGGTGTTTATTGAAGAAATTAGATATTCTGCCGTGCCAACCGGCAATGTTGAAAAATAAAATAAAAATAAAAGTACAAAACTACTGACAGAAACAGGTTAACTTTCTCTGGTATTCTATTTCTGTTGTTCTTTACCAGATGATGAGATCAGGTTCGCTAGCTCGAATTTTCTATTGAAGAAGGTAAGCTCGAGTCTTCTCTAAACCACTTATTCCATTGGCCCCAACAAAAAGGATAAAGCAAAACAAATGCGTCCGATTTAACAACACAATCCATTGTCATATATACATATTATTCTCTTTTTTTATTACTCTATATA